TCACACATACAGGATTATTTTGCAATAATCGGCCAATATTGCAAAAAACAAGTAAAATAGGCAAATGGTGAAAAAAAAATTATTTAAAAAATCTTAAACATTCGGTGCTTTTTATCTTTTAAATTTAAAATGCGTAGGCAAAAAGTAAACATGTGTATCATTATTTATATATTTGAACTTATTTTTAAAATATAACCCTATATATATGGCATTGAAAACTTTTGCTTTAATTTTTTTCCCTTAATTTTAGATGAAACCACCTCTGAAGTGTGCCCATTTAATAAAAGAAATAATAATTTAAATACATATACACATAAAACATACATAACAAATATAGAACCCTCTAGTTTTTTTTAACTTAGTTAAAAGTTTAAGTTATAGTTCTTTTTACATACATACATACATATAATCACGCCTCTTTCCCGTGGGGGTAGGCAGAGACCAGTTCTTTCCACTTGCTACGATCCTTGCATACTTGTTTTGCTTCGTCCACTTTCATTATTCCCTTCATACATGCTCTACGGTTTAGGGTACTCTTGACCTGGCCTTTTTTCAAGACGTCCCTGATTTGGTCTAGAAATGTCCGCCTAGGTCTACCCCTTCCAACACTTTCATTCACACTCGCCTTATACACTTTTTTCGTCAATCGTTCTTCATTCATTCTCTCGACATGGCCAAACCATCTCAGCATACCTTTCTCAATTTTTGTCACTACATCTTCTTTCAGACCACAACGTTTCCTTATCTCACTATTTCTTAGCCTGTCACTTAGTTTAACTCCTATAATACTTCTTAATGCTCTCATCTCAACTGCATTTATTCTGCTTTCATGTTTCTTCTGCCATACCCAAGTTTCACTTCCGTACATGAGTGTCGGAACCAACACCCCCTCATACACAGCCAAACGAGCCTTGTTAGACACCTTCCGACTGCTCATAAAGGAGTGCAAAGCTCCATTCACCATGTTTCCTGCATTCACTCTTCTTTCGATATCACTCTCACACTTTCCATCTCTTGTAAACTTTGAACCCAGATACACAAACTCTTTCACCTGTTCAATTTGTTCATCTTCAATCACAATGTTGCAGTCTGTCACTGCCTCATCTTTTTCAAACACCATCACTTTCGTCTTCCTTACATTCATCTTCATTCCCTTTCTAAGAAAAGCTCCACTCATAGCAGTTACCATCTCCTGCAACTCCTCGGCCGAAGACGCAAGTAATACTTGGTCATCAGCATAGAGAAAACATTTGACGAGTAACTCATTCATTCTCAACCCACTTTCATTCTCTTTTAAATCTGTCAAACAATTGTCCATGAACAGATTAAACAGCCACGGTGACGCTACACATCCCTGTCTAACACCTTTTTCGATATTAAACCATTCAGTGTATGCCCCGTTTATCCTTACACAAGCACTAGAATCCCTATAAAGAGATTGCATTGCTCGTATGAGGATACTGCTCACACCGTTCATGGACAGTGCTGACCACAATTCATTCCTCACCACTCTATCATAGGCCTTTTCTAGATCTACGAACGCGCAGTAGACTTTCTTGTTTTTAGCCAAATACTTTTCGGCTATGCACCGCAAGGAAAAGACCTGATCCGTACATCCCATTCCCTTTCTAAATCCCGCTTGTGCATCCCATACTTTCTTGTCTGTTTCATTCACAATCCTTTCAATCAACACTTTCGCATACAATTTACCGACGACGCTGAGAAGGCTTATACCGCGGTAATTTATGCAGTCCTGCCGTGACCCTTTTCCCTTATACAATGGCACGATTACGGCTTTGCACCAGTCTCCCGGTACTTGCCCATTTCGCCAGCACAGATTGAAAAGGCGGTACAGCTGACTAGCCACCAGGCCCTGTCCAGCCCTCAGCATCTCGACGGTAATCCTGTCATACCCTGCAGCCTTACCTAATCTCATACTTTTCAACGCTTTCACTATTTCATCCATGCTTATCTCATTTTCATCAACATTTATATTAGTTTCCGTGGAAGGTAGCAGATGCTGTACCTGCACTTCCTCTCTTTCAAACAAACTTTCAAAATACTCTTTCCATCTCTTTAACACACATTCTTCTCCTTTTATAATGCTCCCATCTTGACTCCTGATTGTACTCAGCTCCGAGGTAGAAGTTTTTCCTCTAGCTGCTTTGATGGTTTTCCAGAAAAACTTAATGTTTGACTGGAAATCTTCAGTGAGCCTCCTATCGAAATCATCCTTTCGTTCTTCTTTCTTTCTAGACACAATTTCTTTCGCTGCTGTTTTCAATCTTTTATACTTCGTTCTTGCTTCCTTTATCTCGTCATCCGTTGCCTTTTGAACTTTTTGGTTAGCTTTTGTTGCTAACCAATCCAACCACGCTTTCTTCTTTTCTTGCACAACCTTTTGTACATCTTTATCCATCCACACGTTATCATTCTTTCTTCCTTTCCTTCTTTTAGCTACCCCGCATACCTCAATAGCAACATTTACGACCCCTTCCTTAAATGTCTCCCACAAATCTTCAGTCACTCCTATCTCTTCTATCCCTTTAAAACTTTCTTTCAGTTTCTCTACATACTCGTCTTTCTTTTCTTTTTCTTGTAGATTTTCCACTTTTACTCTGCCCAAAACACTCGTAGGCTCGGCCACTCGGTGTCGCCACCGTTTAAAGAGGCCACGCATTCGGGCTATGACCAGGAAGTGGTCTGTGTCGAGGCCTACACCGCGGTATGCCCGAGTGTCTAGTACTTTCTTCCTCAGTCTTTCATCCACAATTACAAAATCAATCATACTTCTAGACTCACCCTCATCTCTTGTATACAAATGGATCGTTTTGTGGTCAAACATTGTGTTGGCCACGCACAGATTCCATTCCAAGCATACTTCAAGCAGGCTTCTCCCATTGTCATTCACTCTCTCGTCCCCAAACGTACCCAGAACTCCTTCATACCCATCACGCTTTACTCCAACCCATCCATTAAAGTCCCCTAACATCACGATCCGTTCATTTTCTCCGCATTTATTCAAGACCTCTCTCATGCTATCCCAAAATTCCTCTCTCTCTTGTTGTGTTTTTAATGACCCACCTCCACGCAGATCCGTCGGTGCATAGACCCCAAGGATAAACAAGCGAGTGAGTCCGACTTTTAACCTAATCCAGAGGAGTCTTGGGCTTATACATTCATGCTCCATCACACATTCAACCATTCGAGATGAAAGAATCACACCAACTCCCTGACAGCCTCGGCTGGTTTGGGGGACTCCCGACCAGTATGCCGTGTAGGGGCCATGAACCGTGGTGTCACATCCTTTCCTCTTGGTTTCGTTCACGCACAGAATATCAATGCAACGTTCATCCATCATCTGACATACTTCATCTACCTTACCATCCATTCCTCCTCTTACATTCAACGTAGCGAAGCGGCTCTCCGTGGCCCGCTTTTCGCCCCCGCGAGAAACGAGACGTGATGGGTGGCGAACCACATCGCCGCCATTTTGGTTAATTAAATTATTTTTATGATTATCCATTGCGTTCCCACGAATAGCGAGGGAAAGGTTTGTCCCCCCCAGCAGAGCCCCGCATGCCAGGGTAAGGCTAGCCTAATTCTGAGGTCGCCCGGTCCCCGGTCCCACGCTAACGACTAGGCTCGCCCCTAGCCATGCATCCATCCGCGCGGCAGACGTTGGATTGGCGGAGGGTAGGAATAGGAAAAGGGGAAGGATAGGTGGTGTGAAAAGGAAGAGTAAGGTAAGTTAGGGTAGGAAATAGGAAATGTAGGATAATACCGTCCAGGAGGGCACGGGATAGGACAGTAATAGCTAGGGAAGCCGGGGTCGCATACCCGTATACCATACCACAACTACCGGACAGGTAAATTGGGATGAGTATCCCTCTTCTTTTTACTATTATTTATTCTGTGGTTATAGTAGGATAAGCTTTACTATTGTTGGCACCCCTTTAGTCATTGGCACTTTGGTTTTTAAATATAAATATTAAGATCTGCTACAGCAAAAACATTTTTAAATATTTTTTTTCAATTCTGATATTATAACATGAGAATTTAATTTTTACCGGCAATATGCACAGCCGTTAGTCACATTCACTTTTTAATAAGATCCAACAAGTTACGAGGTAAGTTTAAACATTTCTTATTTAAGGTTTTTATTGAGCTTAGTATATATTATGATATATTTATATAATTATTTTTGGGCTATGACATTACACATACATACAATGTAACATTTTTGCCATTATAATCTAACATAAATGAGTGCCAATTACTAAATTTGAATGTTTTGTTTGTTTTAAATGATTTGTTGATTTGTTTTAAGTGATTTGCACTGTTCCAATCAACAAATTATATTTGTGGTACTTTTGCTTTAAAATTTAAGCTGTTAAACTAATTAGAATAAATAGATTTATATGAAGTCATTTTTTTTTCGAATTTGCTTCGTTTTTATTTTTTGCCACTGCCAATCATTGTGCTAGACAGGGCCAATCACTGCAACCTGATTTAGTGCCAATCATTGCACTTGTGTGTAGGGTGTTAATTATTGTACATTTTCCTTTAATGGAACTGACTGTAGGTCTGGAAGAGGCTCTTTTAGACTCACCAGCACCCTGCAACCCTACGCCCCAACCTGGGACGAGCCGAGAAGTGGAGAGCACGTCTGCAACCGAACCACAGTCGGAAATGAACCAGGGAGGGGAAAAGAAAAAGTTCACTAGGCCTTATAAGCTTAGTGGGGCAGCACGGAAGAGGTACCAAAGGCAAAGCAGCCGAGAAGGATCCGAAGAGGCTCTCTCTCTCTGCCAGAAGCCCTGGTACGAAATTCCTCTCCCCAAAACTCTCCTAGTTCCGAAGGCGAAAACACGCAGTCGATCTGAGGAAGAGTCCCCCAAAATCTCAGGAAATCTGTGAAGCTGGCAACGGGGGAGAAGAAGCTCAGCTTCAGTGCCGTAGCTAGTTCCGCGCGTGTAGGATATCGCAATTCGAATCCAATGAACGTGGAGCAGATGCGGCTGGTACACCGGGCACTAACGCAGGCTATTGCTAAGACGGCCTGTGGAGTGCAGCCGGGCATGAGACCAAAGTTTTCAGGTTTCACCCACAAGCCAGGTTGGATTCTGGTGACGTGCCTAAATAAGGCAAGCCAGGACTGGATTGTAAGTGATATCGGAAAACTGAAACCCTGGCTGGAGGCAGAGCTCTCGATAATACCCGAGAGCGAATTGCCTAAGCCTCAACTGGGCATTACCTTTCTGCCCCGCAGCGAAGCTGATTCTCCAGAGGAGGTGGCTGTGCTGTTGAGGGCACAAAATGAAGGGCTCCATACCGAAATCTGGAAAATCCTCCACCGTAGAGATGAGGAGAATGGGTTCCTAGTAACCTTTTCTCTGGATGACCCATCGGCGGAGACTCTCCGAGCATTAGACGGCAGAGTCGTCCTTGGCTTTAAAATGATAACTTTTAAGGTCAGGGGAGGCTTTGACGCGGCAATGGAGCCTGTACCACCCCAACTCCAATCCCCCCAGACATCCACCTCGAGAGGTGAGACTAGAACAAAATCAATCAGCAAGAGTGGCTGTGGCGCTGATCTCGCCTCGTTTCGAGGGCCTCCGCTACTGTTGGCCAGTGGTAACGGGAAGGTAGGTGGGAGCGGTAAACCAAAAGTTTCGGCGGGGGTCATAAGTGCCGGTAAAGGACGTCTTCGTCCTAAGCAGGCGAAACCGCCCCCAGTCCCCCCCCCCAACCAACCCCCCGCCTATAAATTGCTAATCTCAAGGGTAAGACGAGGGTCGTCCAGGCAAATCTTCACCATGCAGCAGCTGCTTCTGTCGTGGTTTCAACATCGACATCACCCTCATACAAAAGCCTTGGGTGGCCAACGGTCAAGTTCTGGGATTGTCGGCTGCCGGAAAGATCTTAGTCAATACTAAAGGCAGTAGACCTAGAGCTTGTATAATCTACAATAAAAATATTGAACTTTTACCTGTTCCAGAGTATTGCAATGACGACCTGGTTACAGCCTTTATAAATCTTAAGGGATGCGCATAGGGGCTAGTTTAAACATTTGCGAAGCCCATCTTCCCGGAGAGAACACAGAGCCTGCCATCGAGTTAGAGCGAGTGACGAAGTTCGACCGTAAGCACAACGCCGAAAATGTGGTGGGATGTGATGCTAATGCTCACCACATAGCATGGGGAAGCACTAACATCAACGAAAGAGGTGAGTTACTTTTTGACTTTCTCATATCCAATCGCCTGGTAAGCCTAAGCTTAGGGTGTACACCAACTTTTGTCAACCAATACCATATCCAGGCGGATTACTGACTCCAATGTTAGTAGCGAAAACTCGATGTTTGATCACAGACACATTAAGTTTGTGTTTAGAGTATCAACTACTTATGAAACAGCAAGAAAAGAAGCATCAAGAGAAATCAAGAGATACTTCATTGAAGATTAAAGAGTGAAGACTCCCCTCTCTGTATATAGTTTATTAGTGCCGCATTTGTAAATATTTGAATACAGTATAGTCTACAGTACCATCTTTCCTTTAAGCAGTCCCTAGCGTAGTAATTAGTCAGTCAACCAGTTTTATACATTAAATTCATACAGTCCACTACAGTCCTTAATATTCTTGGTCCTTCGAGCCGGATTAGAAGCCAGAAGCCCCATTCTGTCCCTAATAGTATGTTTTAAGGCTAAAATTGATTTAGGTACGTGCAGTCACATGGTCGGAAACAACTGGTGCTTGCGTTCCAGTATGATCCTATGGCTGTACAGTAGTATAGTGAGATTCTTACCTACGCCTCCACTGTCTGGTGTAATAAGGCCAACCAAAAGACGACTGCGGACAGACTAAATAGTCTACAAAGGACTGCCTGCTTAATGGTCTCTGATAGTCAAGCAGCACTGCTAGCGCTGAGATCAAACTAGGTAAAGTCGAAGCTGTTGAAGACTGCGTGAACCGTCTAAACGCCCTGGGAGGTATCAACTAGGTCATTTTAAGATAGGTTCCGGGTCACGTGGGTATTATAGGCAATGAAACTGCTGGCAAACTCGCACGGGAGGGCTCAAAGAGTACACAATTCGGACCATTTTGTGGAATCTCAATAAGCCTCGCCCGATTGACCCTGGAAACTCTTTACTACAATAAATTCCTTAAGATCTGGTCTGATACACCAGGCTAAAAACATTCTAAAACCTTAATCCGGGCTTTCGATCGTAATTTCGCTTCAGAAGCCCTGGGATTAGGTAAAAATAAATTGTGCATTCTGGTAAGAGCCCTGACTGGACACTGTTGTCTTAAAAAGCACATGTCCATCCTGGGACTAAGCAACTCAAAGATATGCCGGTTTTGCTCCCTTGAGGAGAAAACGCCTTTACACATCCTGATAAATTGCGGACCCTTAATGCGCAAACGCAGCACCTATCTGGGAAACTATGTGCTTCGTCCAGAAGAAGTGAAATTACTCACAGCTAAGTATCTCCTTCTATTCATTGAGGTCGTAGGTCTTAGCAGTGAACTGTATAAATAGCAGCGATCACAATAGATCTTTTGGTCGCAGTGATACTGGTCTCTCTAGACCTGCATAGCTGCTCGTACACAATAAAAATTGTCAGCACGATGAAATTGGCCTATTTGCAATCAGTATAACACATCTGCTGACTCTTTTTTATAAAATTATTGATGACGTGACAATTAATAACTCGACAATATAATTTCGTTGACTATGTACTATTTAATACATTATATTTAAGATGTAATTTTAATTATATTAGGATAGTTATTAGTTTTTATTGACATTGCATCATAAATTGATATGACAAAATATTTCATTGTTTAATTATTAATACTTAATTGTTTTAATTGGCTTTATTACAGTTTTAATTTCTGACACGGGCTGCTAAAAGCTTCCAGATTTTATATTACTATTATTTTATACTTAATTAATTTATGATTATTAATTTTTGTTGTTATGGATGGATACAAATTTTGAAAAATTTTTTTTGCATGTAAAATTTAATCTTGCGTGCGTATTGGATTTTCTGTACGCCACAAGATTTTTTGAATTGATAAATAAATGTAAAGGCTGTACCTATTTGAAAAAATATCATCATCATCATCATCATCATCATCATCATTACAGCCTTTCATAAGTCCACTGCTGAACATAGGCCTCCCCCAAGGAATGCCACAAAGCACGGTCCTGAGCCACCTGCATCCATCGACTTCCTGCATGTCTTACCAGGTCGTCACTCCATCTCGTGGGGGGTCGCCCTACACTTCGCCTGCCGGTACGAGGCTGCCACTCGAGAACCTTTCTTCCCCATCGGTTGTCGGTTCTTCGAGCTATATGGCTGGCCCATTGCCACTTCAGCTAACTAATCCGTTGGGCTATGTCGGTCACTCTGGTTTTACTGCGGATATCCTCATTTCTGAGTTTATCACGCAGAGAAACTCCAAGCATAGCCCTCTCCATAGCTCGCTGAGCGACCTTGAGCTTCCTCATCCGGCCAGCAGTGAAGGACCACGTCTCAGTCCCGTATGTCATCACTGGCAACACGCACTGGTTGTACAGTCTCGTTTTCAAGTTTTGAGGTATACCTGACGAGAAGATGTGCCGTAAGTTCTCGGTCGAAGTTGGACTTACCTAGTCGGACTATTTGTCCCAGGTAAACATACTCGTCAACAACTTCGAGCTTAGTGCTCCCAACAACTACCGGCATAAGTGTGACATGGACATTAAACATGATCTTTGTTTTTTCCATGTTCATCTTAAGACCTATCCGTTGGGAAGCACTATTGAGGTCATTGAGCCTATGCTAATAATCGTCTGTATCGTCTTAATCGCTGGAGGACCTAAGCACTATTGCTTAGGTCCTCCAGCGATTCTGCCATAAGGACTATATCGTCGACAAATCGAAGGTGAGTGATGTACTCGCCATTGATGTTGATGCCGTATCCTTTCCAGTCCAGAAGCTTGATAACGTCTTCCAATGCAGCGGTGAAGAGTTTCGGGGATATGACGTCACCCTGTCTTACACCTCTCTGCAATTGGATAGGTTTCGTACTTTGGTTCTGTACTCGGATAGCCATCGTAGCCCTACTGTACAAGCACTTCAGCACTTCGATATACCGACAGTCCACTTGGCACTGCTGAAGGGACTGCAACACCGCCCAAATTTCGGCGAAATCAAGGGCTTTCTCCATAGTCCACATACGCCAGACATAGTGGCAAATTGTACTCCTCTGACTTTTGAGCAATTTGCCGAATGGTATGTATGTGGTCTATGGTGCTAAAGCCTTTTCGGAAACCGGCTTGTTCGGGAGGCTGGAAGTCGTCAAGTCTGCGCGCGAGACGATTCGTAATGACTCTCGAAAAAAGCACGTAGACGCGGCTCAGAAGGGAAATCGGTCTGTAGTTCTTCCAGAGAGCGTTGTCGCCTTTCTTGAAGAACAAGACCACCGCACTTCTGTTCCACGGCTCCGGTGTAATGCCACCATGGAGGACGGAATTAAAGAGCTTCTGAAGGACTTCAAGTACCGGTTTTCCACCCGCTTTTGAGAAGCTCCACTGTAATTCTATCTTCGCCTGGGGCCTTGCCGTTTTTAATGTGCTGGAGAGCCATTCTAATCTCACTCAGACTGACGTCCGAGATATCATCGAAATAATGTCGGATAAGACTCGCTCTTGGATCGTTACTCACACTTGCGTGTGGCTCCAACGATGACGTGTACAGCTGCCCATAGAACCTCTCAATCTCACTCAAAGTCCCAGGTGCCCCGGAAACGATGCTGCCACACTCGGTCTTCAGCTTTGACAGTTGGCCCTTTCTGGCAGACTTTGGAGCCTTGGTTCCGCTCGATCGCTTCTTCAATACAAGCTGTATTGAAGTTGCGTAAGTCCCGCCGCATGCATTTGGAGATATGTCTGTTCAGTTGCCTGTTGCCTGCTGTCAAATCTGTTGAAGAATGTAGTATCATCATCCGTCTAACAGCCATGAGATTGAGAGTGTGATCGGAGTGTTTTTGTATTCTTCTGCGGAGAGTCTTGCAGAACTTAGCTCCGACCGCATGGACAGTTTCCACGAGCTTATCATTCATATCGTTCACTTCATTGCAGTCTTCTAGGCACTGAAAACGGTTTTGTAACTCGAGCTGCAAGGTTTCGGGACTTTGGAACAGAGCACGACAGGGGACGGAGATTTGACTTCATTAGACGAGACCTTTCCAACTTAACGTTTAGGTTCAGTGTACCTCTGACCATTCGGTAATCGCTACCAGTTTTCACCCTCGCGATCACGGAGACATCACTGAACAGTTATCGTCTGGTCGTCATAATGAAGTAAATCTCATTTTTTGTCGAACCGTCGGGGCTCGACCAAGTCTACTTCCTGTGGGGCCGCTTCTGGAAGAAAGAGTTCATCATAAAGAGTCCCTCTTTCTCCTTGAAGTCGGCCAGCTGCTGGCCCCTTGGGTTCCGTTGCCTTATTTCAAATTTCCCTACTTTCAGCTCACCGTTCTCTCTTGTGCCTAGTTTTGCATTGAAGTCTTAATTAACACCGTATATTGGGTTTTGGAGGAATGCATTGCTCTAGAGATATCCTCATACATTACCTCCACCTTCTCATCGGAGTGTGCCGAGGTTGGTGCGTAAACCTGTATGACCTTCAGCGAACACTGTACACGCCCTTAGCTGTCCCGACAAAGGTCGACTATACAGGGGCTATACAGCTGTAGACTCGACGGATAACTAAGGACGGGGCCCAAATCGCCTTATAGAGAGTTGAACTACACGACAGTGATAAAGCTAGGTAAATAAATACTCGTAGTACGTACCTGTTCAGAGGCGAAGAAGGACCACAAGGCTCGTTCAGGCGTTAAGTAGGTGCATGTAAGTAGTGTGTGAGACGTGTATATATGTTTAACCTGA